AGTTCGTCCTGGTCGCCGCCATCGTGTTCGTGGGCCTAGTCATTCTCGCCGTCCTTCTTGTGGCCATCACGCTCAGGCGGAAGCCGGACTCTGCGGGCCATCTCTCCTCTGGGCCAGACCAGTGAGTGTTTACATGCGGGCACCTCAACATGGGGACAATTTGACATAGGGACATTTATTTTTCAATTTAAAAAATCATAAAGAAGGCTACGGACACTGACTCAACATGAGGGCATTACATGATAACATTGGCAATACATTTTAGGAAAATTGACTTTTATTGGGCTTAATTGCTGGAAACAGATATTTCCAACCCTAACATCTATGCAAGAAAAATTCTTTGGTACTTCTCCCATCACATTCCCATCCATTCAGCTAATTAAAAAAATTACCTATATAGCTCAGAGGGACTTCCTTCTTTCCTTGTGCATTGGATGTTATTTTTACACATGCCAACATTTCAATGAACTGTACAGCAGTATCCTATTGAATGCTCCAAATGTTCTTATCGGTTGAAAATATATTCAGAGAATCAAATTCAAAATGCAAGCAAAATTGTTTTTCATGTAATTCTGAGGAATATTTCTTCCATAAACCACCAATTAAAAAATTATGTAATGTAAGTCTAAGGGAAAACAAGAATCAACTTAGAGATAATTCAACTTAGGGACACTCTTTATGTACCAATTATGTCCACATCTGGGGGTCTCATTGTATATATATACAGTATATATACTGGGATTGGTCCATGAGTTTTGAGACTCTTTGATTCAATGCAGTTTGAACACATCACATTTTTCAATTTTATTTTATTTCATTTTTTAACTCGCATGGCCTTGACATTTGGCAACACTTCAGTGGGGTTCAGCAACATAACAACATACTCTCTGATGATCTGAATGTTTTTTATCCCATGCAAAAAATTTTCATTAAATTCTGCGGAGAGTGTGTTGAGTAGCATTCCAGTGTTGCCAAATGATTGGGGCTTTGAGATTAATTTTTTTGAATTGTTGAAACTCTGTTGGATATAATTTAAAAAAGTCTCAAAGCTTATGAACCAACCCTCGTACGTGAGATTTTTTTTCTCAGTGGAACAAAACATTTTGTCTTTTAATTTTGTTCCTATTTCCAGTTGGGCCCGGAAAGGTGGGATCCGAGAGATGAGCGATCCCAGGATCAGTTCCACAGGGGAGCACCATTTGCTGCCGCCGGTGCCCGGGGCTGAGCGGCGTCCCATCATCCCGGGTTCGCCACCGGGTGGGGCGAAACCCAGTGTCCAGGGCCATCCGCCGGGACGCCCAATCCAGCGCCCGAGGCGCCGCCGCCGCCGCCGACGAAGCCGCTTGTCGACATGAATTACCCCGTATTGGGGGGAGGTCTGAATGACTGCTGCTGCTGGTGATGGGAGGGATAAGAAATGAAGGAATAGGGAAAGAAAAATGAGTGGATGGACACACTTCTGTGGTTGAGTCTATTTTCCAAATTTTAAGGAATTCCCTGTGACCCTAACATGCACTCGCTATATAATGAAAATGATTGAATTGGAAAATTTAATTGGGTAATGGTGATGAAATGCAGATAGAATGAAATTTCAATTTTTTCCCCATGAATTAGACCAATTTCAAAGGATTTAGCAGAAATATCATGAGCAGAACACAGTTTAAAATAAATAAAAATGATACAAGTTTGCATCCTTGATTTTTGAATGGTGTACCTTTAATGTCCCTTTTAAAAATTTCTAAATCTATTAATTTGGGTCAGCTCAAGGTAATAGTTATGTTCATTATATAGGACTGTACATACTGTATTTTTGATTCAAACGCATTAATTCTGAAAATAAAAACAAAAAGTATTTCAGATATTCAATTCTTGTCTAACTTGTCACCGCTGGTCACATCAAAACTCGTTTCCAGTCTGTCAATAAATTAGACATTAAAATTCAGTTATTACTTGAAAACTGATGATATCTTTTTGAATTAAATCGCTCGAAATAATGGAGAAAAACTTTATATTCGTGATCTTATCTTCCCGGTCAGCCTCTGTAGATTTTCTGGAAACCCCGGGTTTAATCATGATATCAAGCGACATCTACACTTCATAAGCAAAAATCAACCAGCAAGTTTATATAACTTACGTTCAGATGTACAACTACTATCAACGAAACACGGTCACGGTTCGAATATAATGTTTTCATACTTTTCAACAATCTTCTTAGTATCCTCAAAAATTCAACGAAGAATTATTTTCATGCTTATCCTTTTCTAAGATGAACAGAAAACATTCCAAAACATTTTGGCGAGAAGAACACTTCCTAGAAATGAAAATTGGCTCAAACTTTAAGGTTTTGCTTCATATAATATAGAGACTATCGTCCAAATATAATGTAGAGCCTTTCCGAATATTCTTTAAGCTTCTTCAACTTCAATTTTCTCAAAACTGAACATCTGCTTCTTTTTGGGACCCAATTTCAAGCGCAAAAAAAGACGAAAATGGAGGCGAAAAAAAATGAATGAAGGCATTGCTCAAAATTGCAAGAAGAAAAGGAACTGACGTTCGAGACTAGCATTGTGACGTCACATCTCTGAAAAGTTACCTTCTTTCTTACATTGGGAAAAGAAAAAGTCATCCCCAAAGAAGAAAAAAAGACAGAGAGAGAGAGAAGGAAAGAAAAAATCGAAACCTTCTTATAGATAGAAAATAGAAAAGATATTTTCTTTTCTTCATTTCGCTTTTTTCATGCGACAAAAAAAAGGCGAATGGAAATGCGTGCGTCTGAAAATTTCAAAGAAATTTGAATGTTGAGTGAATATTTGATGGAGAAAAAAATAAGAAAGTCGGATGTTGTGTCCGACGAAAACTCGTCTTTGAGGAGATCACTGTGAGATTGAAGTTGAATTTATTTGAAAACATTTTGTCAAAATCTTTCGTTTTATCCTCATTTTTTCCGTTTAATTTAAAGTTGTTTTATTTAGCAAGTTATTGCGAGCGTCTTTTATATACGAACCGCGTTATTTTCCACGTTTCAGTTCGCTTCCTTCAATTGATTCAGTCATCAATCGAATTGATTGATTGTGCCCATTTTTGAAGGGAAAAAGAATTTTATAAACGCTGACAAATGGGATCGAAGCTAAAAATCCTTTTGTCATCTTCTCGCGATGAGGAAGGAAATTCGTGTGTGTTGGATTCGGAAGACGTGAAGCCAATAAACACACAGCTCTTTTTTTTTGTTCTGTGCAACTGGGTTATTTTATTACTAATATCAATTCAATCACCATCGTATAATCATCATTACCTTTTGGAACTCCCACCGAAATTAACAAACTTTTCGGGGAGGAAAACCCAACAAACCGAAACGAAGCAAAACAAAACAAAAAAACTGCGATAACAAGTCAACAATTAACGCTGTAACAACGAAGGCGGAAAATGAAAACCAAATACAAATTGTATTCAGCATATATAGTTCAACAATTTTGGCAAATTCCACATTTTCTTGACAAATGGGCTCCTTTTGGAGGAATGAAACGGAAGACATTTTAAGCACGAATCCGCTTTGGAAAGTAATACTGATCCCATTTTTTTTTTTCGTTTGGCTTTTTCAATGTGGAAATGTATGTATGAGAAAAAGCACAATATGAACAATGTTGCCAAACCCAAAAAAATGTCTTTTGACACATCGACAGATAATTCATGAATTCGAAGAATTTCTGAAAGCGCACTTTGAAAAAAAAAAAGGGCAGGAATCAGGGTTTCTTTTCGTTTCGTCAGCAGGTTCAATGAAGCTCCTCCTTTTCTTTCTTTCCTTCTTTTTTTGTTGTTGTTGTTGTTGTTGTTTTAAATTCCTAATCATGAATGAAAAGTTGCTTCTTATTCCCTTTTTTTCGAGATGATCTGATGTCCGTGAAGTTCAGGCGAAAGTCGTTGACACCTTTCAGATGAGCAGGATTCTTCTGTTTTTGGAACCAGGTCCATCCAGGCCTTTTTATGAAGAAAGTAAAGGTCTTCAGCGACCTCTGAAGAGACTGAAACGAAACAAAAGGATTGATTTTGGAATCAGATATAATTGAGCAAGAGAATTTCATAACAGTTTCTGCTGTTCTGCAGCCATTTTATACAGGACATGAGGTCCTATAACTTTCAATTTTTCAGAAATAACAGTAGACAAGATGGTTTCATTTTTCTTTTTACATTCTGAGGTCATTTTGATGATAAATAAAATAATTTTACTCAAGGGAATAAGTTTATATATAAAAAAATGATTTTGGTTATTGCAGAAGTTTCTGCTGAGATGGCATTTCAATAAATATAGAAAGATCCTAAAATTTCTAAATATTAATCAATGCATACATTTATTCTTGAATTTCAAATCAAGCTTGATTCCAGCAAATAATTTTGCGTAAAAAATAGTTCATCCCAATTGTTATCCAGGA